AGAGGCAGGAGGATCTCTGTGGGTTCAAAGCCAGCCTGATCTATACAGAGCTAGTTCCAGGACAGGCTCCAAAGCAATACAGAGAAACTCTGACTCGAAAAACATTTAAAAAAAAAAAAAAAAGAATGTACAGATGCACATGCAGGCAATACATAATGGTAACAATAACCTAACATAATAAATAATAATAAATTTAACAAAAAAGGAAAAGAATAACAAGAAAAAAAATTGCAGGCTGGGAATATAGCTCAGTAGTAGAATGAAGAGCACTCAATGCTCAAGGTCCCAGTACATATGAAAGAACAAACAAGTGTGAATTTATTCTAAAGTAGCACTGATGGAGAACAGGGATCACATGAACTTTTATTTTTTGAGTTTGAGTTTTATATAATCAAGTTGAACTTCAAATCCTAAGTTCAAACAATTCTCCTACCTCATCCTTCAATGCCTGGGACTACATGCCCAATAATAATGCATTTCCATTTCCAATGATTAACAAAGCATCTAGATCAAACTATATCTCAAACTGTAGCATGCACAGAGTGGTGCACACAAAGCAGTTTAGAAATCACATTTGAAGAAAGGTAATGGAGGAGGGTGGCTGTTTGGTCTGGAAAAATAGAGCTTACTTTGTGAGATAGGTTTTTCTTCGTAGCCCTAGCTGACCTATCTGTATATCAGGCTGTTCTGGAACTCAGAGATTACCCTGCCTCTGCTTCTCAAGTGCTGAGATTAAAGGCTTGATCATCACCACCCAGTTGAAAAAAATAACTTTTTTAAATTTTATCTTTAACTTTAACTTTATTTTATGTTCATTTGAGTAAAGTTGTCAGATCTCCTGAAACTGGAGTTACATACAATTGTGAGTTGCCAAGAGGGTGGTGGAAATTGAACCTGGGTCCTCTGGAAGACCAGTCAGTTTGCTCTTAACTGCTAAGCCATCTCTCCAGCCAAGAAAAAAGAGTGGGACTAAGTAGGTGTCATTGAATACTAGAACTTACAGAATAAAAAATAACTACAGATGGAAAAATCAGAGCCACTAAGTAAAAACTGAAGGGAGGCTGGTTTGAAATTATCAAAAGCCAGGCATGGTGGTGCACACATTTAATCTTTAATGCCAGTACCTACAGAGTGAGTTCTAGGACAATCAGTACACAGAGAAACCCTGTCTCAGGTTTTTAAAAAAAAAAAAAAAAAAAAAAGGGGGGAGGAAGCTTTTCAAAATGATAGATTTGGGGCTGGTGAGATGGCTCAGCTTGTAAAGGCCCTTAAGGCCTAATGAACTTACTTCAATCCCAGAGACCTACATGCTAGAAAAAAGAAAAAGAAAAAAAGCTGTTCTCTGACCTCCACATGAATCTTGACACTTGAGCATCCACACATACACACAAAATAAAAGTTCTTAAGATAAATAAGGGGCTGGAGAGATGGCTCAGTGGTTAGGAAGGAGCACTGGCTGCTCTTCCAGAGGACCCAGGTTCAATTCCCAGCACCTACATGGCAGCTCACAATTGTCTGTAATTCCAGTTTCAGGTGATCTGACACCAATGCACACAGAATAAAATTATTTAAAAAAAAAAAAAAAAAGATAAATAAAAGGACACATTTTCAAACCTAGAACTGGTGGCCAGCAGCAGTCACTATCTACTGTTGACTTTGCTTTTTGAGACAAGGCTATGTAGCTCTGGTGGGTAAACTCAAATCCATCTGCTTCTACCTTCCAGCTGTGGGGGACTAAAGGTGAGAGCCACCAACCACACTCAGCTAGACCCCTTATCGTTGTCATCATCATCACCATCACCCCTTCCTCCCATCTCTCTATAGAACTCCTGAGATTAGATGCTTACTTACCCACTCCCACTTTCTCACCCAAACTACCTAGCTATCTTCCTCTTCTAACACATCCACTGTGCCCATATCTAAGTAGGTTCCAATCTCAACAGTTTCAACCATACAGTCCAGTCCAGGCTATCCTAACTCATCATCTTCATGTCCTTCCTTTGGTTTTTTGAGACAAGGTTTCTCTTTGTAGTCCTGAATGTCCTCAAACTCAGATCTGCCTGCTTCAGCCTCCCAGTGCTGGGACTGAAGGTGTGAGCCACCATGCCTGTCGTGCCTCTTTATTGTTTTTCAACTCTTCTATAAATCTAAGATTGTTTCAAAAGAAAAGATTTTTTTAATTTTTTTTTTTTTTCTTACTGCTTGGTTTTTCAAGACAGGGTTTCTCTGTATTGCCTTGGAGCCTGTCCTGGAACACTCTCTGTAGACCAGGCTGGCCTTAAACTCACAGAGAGATCCGCCTGCCTCTGCCTCCCAAGTGCTGGGATTAAAGGCTCCACCAATGCCCGGCTAATATAAGATTTTTTAAGCTGCATTTCCTTACAGAGTGTGGTAACATATGCCATTATTTCCAATACTTAGAAATGCCTTTTAGTACTAGCACTTGGGAGGCAAAGGCAGGAGGATCTCCTGGACAAGGAAAATTCACAATAGTTGAGTTCCAGGATAGCCAGGGCTACTAAGAAGAAACCCTGTCTCCAAAAAAAGCAACAGAAGACTCTAGAGTCAAGGCCAGCCAGGGCTTGTTTCAAAAACCTTGTTTGAAAAAAATAAGCTTACTTTTTTTTTCATTTTTTAAAAAAATTACTTATTTTTATTACATACACAGTGTTCTGTCTGCATATTTGCCTGCACACCAGAAGAGGGCACCACATCTCATGATAGATGGTTGTGAACCACCATGTGGTTGCTGGGAATTGGACTCAGGACCTCTGGAAGAACAATCAGTGCTCTTAACCTCTGAGCCATCATCTCTCCAGCCCCTCAAAAACAAACTTCTTTTCGGCTATAAAAGAAAGTGATGGCAGGGTTAGTGGCATTTGCCTCTAATGTCTGCGCCTAGGAAGCAGAGGCAGCATAACCAGGAAGCCAATTTAGGCCAATGGTGAGGTACTGACTCTCAAAAAAATAGTTGAAGGAAGGTTACATCTACTTCTCACTTCTGATTTTCTTACATTTTTTGGAAAATTAAAACACATCAATCACTCATGCTTAATGTTTAAAAGAAAAAAAAAAAAAAGAGGTGGGGGGGACTGGGAACACAGCTGAGCAGCAGAGCTTTCACCTACCATGTGTAAAAAGTTCCAGTCCTTGAACTGGATGTAGTGTTGCATGAATTCAAAGCCAGTCTGAGCTATGTAATAAGACTCCATTCTCAACAATACTAATCACAAATTTGGAAATTGTCAACTATAAAAGTCTACAGTCAAAAGTGAGTTACCAAATTCAGAAACAAAGTTAGGAAGAACCAAATCTCTAACTAAACTAGCTAGAAATCCCAAAGATAGATGTGGAGATTTAAGTGGGATATTCCTAGGCAAGAAAGACGATGGCGTTTTTTAGTCCAGAAGCTCCAGACTAGCCTGAGCAACACAAGACCCCAATCTCAATGGAAAGAAATTCCAGGTGCTTCCTTCAGTTGTCAATAAACAATGACTTTAATACAGACTGTAACCTTACTTGTATATTTGAGATTTTAGTTCAAGCACACAAACATATGAACAGATTTGTTTTTAAACCTGGGAAGGGAAAGTATTGGGACACACCACAAGCTGGGTATGGTGACATATACCTACCTATATCCTAGCATTTGAAAGGCTGACGTTTACTTAGTCCAGCAGTAGTCGTACATGCCTTTATGGCTCATGCCTTTAATCCTAGCACTCAGAAGGCTGAGGCAGGTGCCACTCTCTGAGTTCAAGGACAGCCAAAGCTACACAGACAAACTATGTTGAAGGAGCAGGAGGGAGAGCAGTGGCGATTCATGCTTTATTAATCCTGGCATTGGGGTGGCAGCAACAACTGATTCTCTGCATTCAAGGCCAGCCTGCCAGGGCTGTTACACAGAGAAACCTGTCTTGAAAAAATAAAAAAATAAAAAAGCTGGGGCATAACAAATTGCCATGAGGCTAGTCCAGGCTTCATAGTAAAGTTCCAGGCCAGCCTGGACTACAGAATAAGCCTTGTCTCAAAAAAAAAAAAAAAAAAAAAAAAAAGCTTCAGAGATAGCTCAGCTCAGTGGTTAAAGCCAGTTGCTCTAACAAAGGACCCAGCACTCACACAGTACCTCACAGCCATCTCTAACTCCAGTACTAAGGGAATCCAACCCCCTCCTTACTTCATGGGCAGCAGGCACACACAAGGTGCACATAGGGATACAGGCAAAACACTCTTATGCATAAGATTAAATATAAAAAAAAAATTTTTAAATAATACAAGTTTCCAGGGGCAAATGGATGGATCTCTTTGAGTTCGAGGACAGCCAGGATCGAGTCAGCTGTCTGACTCAAAAAAAAAAAAAAGATAATATCAATAATAATAATAATAATGTGAAGGCCTAATGACTCAACAACTAAAAGTACTTGCTGCCAAGCCTAAGGACTTGAGTTCAATCCCCAAAATGTACATGGTAGATAAAAAGAACTGACTTCCAAAGTTGTCCTTTGACCTCCACCATACTCATGATGCAGTACACACACTTGCACACCCACACCAAATAAATGTTAAAAATAAGTAAAGTACAATAAAAGACACACCCTTGCACTTTCTAACTTTAGTGCATGTGTTGTTAACAAAAGGAAAAGGAGGCAAACTCAAGCTTCAATAACTTGATTAAAACATCCCTGAGAACATTCACTGCCCTCATTCTAACACTATAATCAACTGTTTCACTGATTATGCTACCAGGAACAATGGAGGTATTTTGGGCCAGTGGCTAATTAAAACCAATTGTGTAAAAAAGCACCAATACTTTCTACTTTCAACACACACTGGAACCTGATTTATCAATCTCTGTCTGCTAAGTTTGCTTTGCACAAGTATATTCTCTTTCCAAGGGGGTACCTGAAAGATGGTACTGGCTCAAAAGAGCAATAGCTTTAATCACTTTAAAGCTATTGGCTAAATGTGAAAGGAGATTACCACTGAGATAAAAATATCACCTTTGAAAGGAAGTGGTATGGGCCATCAAACTCCATCAATCGAAAAGCCATCACCTGAGCACACTCCCATTCTAGAGAGTGGAGAAAACGCAGTTACAAAGTTGCCAGTACCTGCTGCACTGTACAGATAGGAGTCTCTTGCTTAGCAACTGTAGTGTTGTCCTCCAAACACTCACCCTGTCATAGTTAGGGCCTGACAACTGTTCACTCTAAATCCATGTGCTTCAACTTGGATTCAGGATTGATTTATAAAAATAGCTGCTGCTGTTGCTGCTCTTTGAATCTCTGCGCTGATGACTGGGCAGTGTTACCCTATAGGCCTAGAGCAGCTGTATTTCCCTCACCACACCCACAGCTCTGCCTACCCAGCCAAGCTGTGGGCAACCGCCCCCTCCCGCTTGTCACCCCCCCCCCATCTCTGCACCATACTATTCTCCCTCCTCCTGGGCTGAGTGAGCAAATTACAAGCACAAATATCCCCTGATGCAATGCCACAACCATCCCTGGGAAAAAGCAGAGACAGTTGCCAAAAGCGCAGCAGTAGAGAAATGGGCGGGAGACACTCACAGGGCAAGAAACACTGCAGGGGCCCTGAAGAGAAATACTGTAACTGGACCTGCTGAGGGAAAGGGGGATTCCAGGAGGAAAGCTGGAGTAACACTAATCTTCCCTTACCCCACCTCACCCCGGGAGGGGGCGACTTGTGGATTCCTAAAACACAAACCTGTGGGGAAATCAGTCTCTTCCCCTAAAGCAGCAAACGCACTTAATCTACACAATCCTGGAGATAAGCAAAACCTCTCAAACACGCCCAGGAGGCAATCTCAACTAAAGCTGAGCTCCGGCTGTAACAGTCCAAAAGACCTCGTCCAGTGTGCTAAATAAACCACAATCTCTGCTCTGAGTAACGTTTCCAACGGCCGCGGCTAGTCCTGCTCCCTAAGTTTCCCTGTCCTGCACCCTTAAAAAGTGACCCCTTTGCATTCCCGAAGCCAGGAGCACGTCAAGTCCCCAAACTGCGCGGGGCCCACGCACACAAGAGCTCGAGCCGAGATTCTCCGGACCATCCCTCAGCCCCACCCATACCCCCCCCAGACCGGACACGCGGAGGCTCCCCTCGGTCCCCACATCCACTGACGGCCCTCCCGAAGCCGGGGGAAACGTCCCTGGCGTCCTTCTGCACGCCCCCGAACCCCACCCAAGGCCCCAGGCTGCAGCCGACCCTCGGTGCGGGGTCTCAGCACATGCCCAGGCTGAAGCAAGCCGCTCGGCTCCCACAGCCCCAGACGCCCCGAACCAGGATCTCTCGGCCCGTCTCGCCCCCTCCGCTCCCCTCAGAAGGCGCCGCGGAGACTCCGAAGGTCACGCCCGCAGGCCCCCACCGGGCCCCCTCTCGTACCCACCCCCGCCGTCCCGCAGGCGGACAGCCACCGCCCTTCCCCGCCTCGGGCGGGACCTGCGAGGTCCCCAGCGGTCACCGCGAGAGCCTCCGGCAATGTCTCCGGGGGAGGGGGGGACAGGGGACAGTGAAGACGCCGACCCTCGGCTCCCGACCTCACCAGCACTCACCCGCCGCCGCCGCCAAGCCCAAGCCGGAGCCGCAGGAAGCCGGGAGAGGGCAGAGAGGAGCCGGGAACAGCCGGGAGGAGCCGCGGGAGCCACAGAGCAAGCCGGAGGGGCGGGGCGCAGGGAGGTGGCCGCTTCCTCGTCGCCCTCTTGAAGGCCCGCACGAAGGCGGGGCGTCCCCACAGCCAGCGGGCGCCGCCCCAGCCAATGGGCGCCGCCGAGGGGCGGGCCTTGGCAACGAGAACCAATCCGCGCCTGCCCCCTGCTCCGCGACCTCTTCGTGGAAGCGGCACGAGCGGCTAGCGCCGGACGGTTGGCGAAGCCCGCGTCCGAGGTCTAGGCTGCGGCCTCCCGCCAGCGGATACCTCAGCGAATGGCGAGCCTCAGGCCGCCTCCGCCGTTCCGAGATGGCCACTGCTTCATTTTCCAGCGGGGAGCAAGCTACTGTCAGGCGCACGCGGCCTGCGTGCGGGTGGGCCCAACTGGGCCCCGCGGGCCCTGACTGGTGGGCTCTATGATGTAATCTGGGAGGGGCGCGGGGCGGGTCCTTGCGCCCTCTGCCGCAGGGAGCCCTGACGGCGATGCTGTGGCGCGACTCCGGGTAGCTGCCTAGAGCTGCCTTGAAACGTGACTGGACCAACCAAGTTCAGAAGGGACATTGTTGATTGCAAAACTGATTATATAGTTGGGGTGTGTTTAGTAACTTAAAATAACTTCATGTTTCTTTTAGGTGTTTTTTTCTATGAAGTTACTTAGAAATCACCTTTGTTTGGTTTTGATTTTTTTGAGAGTCTTACACTCTCAGCGCTAGCTGGCCAAAAATTCTTTTCAACACCCACCTGCCTCAAAGTGATGGCAGTCCTTATGCCACAGCCTCCTAAATTGCTGGGGTCACAGACTTGAGCCTCCACACATGTCTAAGTTACCACCCCCCTCCTTTTTGTTAAGACAGGGTCTCATTATGGTTGATTCACATTTTATATTGTCTATGGATAGTACTGGTGGTCCAGAAGCAATAGTGATAGCTAATCCCTTTGAGTGCTTACTCCATTTTCCAGATATAACTCTAGCATTTAATCACAACAATCCCACAAGATAAGTAAATATACCCTCATTCCCGTTTGTATTTTTGGTTGTGAGCCTGTCTGTCCTTTAGCAGTTTAGCCATCTCTCCAGCCCTCTTCATTCCCTGTTTATAAAAAGAGGGAACAGGCAAGCTTAGTAACAACATAATGTCAACAAGGCAGTATTTGGCTAGTGGGGCTTTAATTTAGGTAGCCAGGTGCTAGGATTGCAAATTCAGCCATATAGAGGTTAGCAGGAAGACTTGTTTAGAAAGCACAGCTGTGTTTTGTAGCTGTGTGTCCTTGGGAAAACTAAGCCTCAATTTCCTCATTTATGAAAATTAGGTAATAGTCACTCTCAATAGAGTTATTAATAGTATGCCCGTGGCAAAACACTGATGACCCATATCCCTGTAGAACCTCAACATAGCCAAACAAATTGTATAAACTTGTGGAAGACTTCTAAATCTATCACTATTGTGTAACAATTTCCTCTATCATGGGAACTTTTCATCCTACAGAGAAGCTCCCTAAACAGGAAGGTAAACTACTCAAAACAGCTTCAGGAAGTCCCTGAAACAAACCAGATTCACTAGATTTCTCCCTGCCAGAATTCAGTGTTCTTTTCAGAAGAGCAAAAGCAGCAAAGACTCTGAAACCAGCCAAGCTATCTAGAAGAGGTCTGGATCAGAATTACCTGGAAAGGACACTCTCCAAAATGTTGAGTGGCCTGCAGGCGGTACAGTGCACTCTAGGAATCGAAGTTCTGTGAGTTGTCATGCTGGGGAGGGCCTTGGTGATGCAGCTGTCTTCGAGTCTTTTCTGCTCCTGTAAATAACATCTCTCATGTTTCTTTATATTCCTATAAATAACCCCAATAAAACCAGCACTTGGGAGGCAGAGGCAGGTGGATCTCTGTGAGTTCGTGAGTTCGAGGTCAGCCTGGTCTATAGAGATAGTTACAGGACAGGCTTCAAAGCCACAGAGAAACCCTGTCTCAAAACCTCATTGTTTGACCAAGTTAAACTTTGGTCTGTCATGAGTTTATGAGTTTCCCATCAGGGGTGAGTGGATGTGTGTGTTGCATCTCTTAAATGAAGATGATTGTTTCTTGGGATCCATATGAATAACTCTCCTAGAGCCAGGTAGTGGTGGCACACATCACTCAGGAGTCAGAGGAAGACAAATTTCTGAGTTTGAGTCTAGCCATGGTTGTCCTGGAACTTAGTTTGTAGACCAAGTTGGCCTTCAACTCACAGAGACCTGCCTGCCTTTGTCTCCAGAGTGCTGGGGTTAGAGGCGTATGCCATCACACCTGGCTTAGTATTATTTATTTATTTATGTTGTTTTGTTTTCAAGACAGAGTTCTCTGTATTTACACTACACACTCCAGCACATCCACTTATACTCAACTACAAGAAGAATGTAAGGAAACTAACATAGTCATTTTTCCAACAATATGTATAGTGTACCTTCCTGTTAGATAAGCCACATAATGAGTAAACACATTCACAAAGATACATTAGATAGATTCCCTAACTGAATGAAGTGCTGCACCTGCAATACCAGCACTGTAGACGCAGAGACAGAAACTATGGCAAGTTTAGTTTCAGTATGTCATAGCAAGATCCCGTCTCAAAAAAAAAAAAAAAAAAAAAAAAAAAAGGTTTTTTTTGGTATGTTAGCATTATTTTATATCAGGACTCTGAATTCTGTTTAATGCTGTATTTATTGTCCTGAAAAACATAGAAGTAGTTGTTAAAATTATTCTTCCTGAAAACTGGAATAGCCAATCCCAAAACCTGTCCCAGATTCTATGACTACATTTGGCTTTAAACCCCTTTGAAGTCAAATATGTCTAGGAAAACTTTAAAAAAAAAAAAAAAAGGTGTTAGAGAGTCCCAGCACTCTGGAAGCAGAGGCAGACGGAGCTCTCTGAATTCGAGACCAGCCTGGTCAACAAGAGCTAGTTCCAGGACATCCTCCAAAACCACAGAGAAACCCCATCTCATAAAACCAAAAATAAAAACCAAAAATCTGTCAACGGGTCCTTCTTTCTATGTGGTTAGCCCCAGCCCAAACTCTATTGGTACAAACTACCAATAGTCTTCTGTAGCAGCTAAATTCCCAGCTGATATAGTTGCAGTAAGAGCCCTGGACTATAAGATAAAGCTCTCCATTACAGATTGACTTGAACCAGGAACAGACTGTGTAACCTTGGGCCTCAGGTTCCTCATGTCTATCAGGGGAAGTAGAACAGACAACTTCCACTTCTTGCTTTCTGTGGTCTCATTGATCACTGCCCTGAGACACCCTTTCACTTGAAATAGACACCTCTCTCAAGGCTGACTGAGTGTACCTTGCTCCCTTAACTTTCGGGGCCTGCATCCTCTCAGTAGATATTGGGAAACACACACCTTTGGGGCATTCCCTTAACTTCAAGTC